GCATTAACTGTATTTACAATTAGAGGAGCTCAGGGCAACATGCTTAGATGTGAATGCAGCAAATACATATGCTTATCAGTTTCCTGTGGCAGTAAGGTTCACACTTAATTGCATATGACATTAAAAAAGTACTTCCTTTTATTGTTTTGCATTTTAATGTATTATGCTGCAAGAAAGAGAAAGACAGTGTATCATGAAGTGTCATGAACATGATGGCAACAATACATCTTTAATTGTACTTCTTTCTTTGACTGTTTTTACCACCATTCTCAGTTCTGCAGTGTCCCACAGCAGTTGTGACTGTCATCATACACAGTTCTTCAGGTGTGGTCATGTTATGTGATTTATATAATGGCATTGCAGAATTGTGTATCATCATCCTCCTATTATTTATGAAACATAATACATGATTTTACTGGTATTCTGAGTAAATGTGCCCAGGGAACAACAGTCATCTTAGGGGGTTTGGGATTACTGATTCCATTCCTTGCATTAATGTAGAAGCTTGTAAGGGAAAAGAATATTTTGGGGTTTTTCTGCGTGTATGTTGCTTACCTTTTCTTCAGTTGGAATTTCATTTGCTAGTGCGTTGATTTTTTTCTCTCTCCTCTTTAAGTCTCTCTCACATTTCTCACTGCTTGGTCCTCACAAACTGACTAGCATTGTGTCTTGTGAAAATACTATCAATAAACTACTTATGCATTTACCACATCATTAAGAAATAAGTTACGAATGATTTTAATATGAAGCTGGACTAGAGTCTTAGGCCAGGATTTATCGCACCTCAGTTTAGGCACTTAATTCAAGTTACAGTCTAAAGGCCTTATCACTGAAAAGAGAGTCATCTTGAGAAGTGATGTAACCCACCCCAGAAATTATCAAATCACCAGGTGTGCTCAATGATTATTTACAGATTTTAGTAATAATCACTACTTTTTTTTGTATTTGTGATGAATCCAGACCTTATTTCTTGCTGTGATGAAAACCAGCTAATCTAATCTAATCCTAATCTTTTTTCTTTGCTTCCAGACTATTTCTTAACACATTACAACCTGTCATTTTACAGCTGTTTAGTTTCAACCAAAGTTTATTGTGTGAAAAGTAAGAGAGCTTTTAGAAGACCAATAGTTTTTGTCATCTGGTTGTGTTTATTGAAATGTTCAAAAAATTATAGATCAGTCAAATGCTATTTGCCTTTGTAAAATCAGTAGCGATTAGACACTATTTTTAACTCCCCAAACCACTGGACAGGGTGATTCTTACATAGCAGGACTGTTATCAGCTCAGCAATTCTCTATTTAAGGTTCTTCAAAACTCCTAAATGTACCTCCTAGCCCTGATATATTCTGTATTCTCCCACTGTGCTACTTCTTGATACCTCACCACACAAAGAGAAATCATTGTTATCACCAGAAAAAGATTATAGAGAGCAGAAACCTTCTGAATGTTTTGAACAAGAAAGGTGCGTGCAAAAAAAGGAAAATCATTTAGCTTCCAAACAGTGTAATTACCTTCTTTAGCTACTCCCTTAGCCTGTACAAATTCGGCTGTAAGCCTCTTGTTTCTGATATACCTAAGGAATATTTTATTGTTTATTTTTAAATCTTTTAATGTTTGTTCTTGGAAACCTACTTTTGCTCTTTGCAATTTCCTCTTACTTAACGCCTGCTGAAGTTTAAGTTCCTGTTTATTGGCTTCCCTAGGATCGTGTTTCCAAAATTTGAAGGATTTCTGTTTGGTTGAAATAGACTCTTGAACCTTGCCATTCATCCGGTTTAGCTTAATCCTGCCTTCCTGGTTCCCTTTCTTGCACAGTACACAAGCCTTCAGAGACAGTTCCTTTTAAAGTACTGTCCTTATTGCCTTTCCTGTCTTACAGTTTTACTTTTAGGAGCTTTAGACTAATCTAAGTTTACTAAGTGTGTGAATTCTATTTCATTTCTTATTTTTTACTGCAAAAAACACACAAGCAACTCAGAATTATGAGCAGAACCCACCAAGAACGAGAGGTAGAACAAAGAAAGCAGTAAGATGGGAGAAGGGAACCAGGGGTGTATTTACTGTTGCCACTTTTGCTGTATGTCTAAACTGAAGGTGGAGAGCTGCCTGCAGAATCCCAGTAAAGTTGAATGAACCGGTACGTGTCAGGTTCTGCACTCATGGCCACCAGTATTTTCATCCCCACCTACCATGCACTGCTGATGCTGCAATGTAATGGCAGAAGTTCTGACTGCAGGTAGGCTATCCACCATGTCCTACTAACAAGCACCTTATTCTGGACTGGAAAGTAAAAGGCCCGGCATGCTAAAATCCTTATATAATGGGTTGGGTACAAGTGCTATTGCCACAGATACCCTGCCAAATCCAGGCTCTTGCACTGAGTGCTTTGTGAAATCTTGTAAATCCATAGTAAGCCACATCCATCACCTGAAGGACCAGCACCTACACTAACAAGGGTGGCTTTCCATGTTCTGCCTTTCCTTCTGACAGAGCAGTGTTTCTGACAGACATAAATCTTCATTTATAGGTAGGAGTTTTGAGCATTAAGGTCTTATTTGTCACATTAGAAACAGAAATTGATCTGAAATTAATGAAATACCTATGGAATTCCTCGTTGTCTTTCATACCTCTCATTTAAGGTTTTCCTAGATGATTTTTGAAGGTGTGTTCTAAGATGTATGTCCTTCTGAAAACAAAGGTGTGTAATGCATCAGTGTCTGGAGCTGAATCGAGAAAACAGAATACCAGTGTCAGGGCATGAACTTAACAATGCTGCAGATGGACAGGCTTTTGCCAACTGCACCACAGGATTAGATGACCAGGTTGCTAAAACAGAACTGTGTGGAGGCCCCTTTGCCCAATGGAATAGGATGAGACCAGCAAATTTGCTGACTTGTCTATATGATGTCACATCTGCAACCCTTTCATCTTGTTTGGGAAAGGAAGAACTTGCGCAAGCTGCATTCAACATTTAATTGAAAAAGACAGAGCTCTGCAGGCACATAACTGTATTGTATCTTCTTTGGCTGGCTCAGAAGTTGATACTAGTTTCTAGGAATTTTTTTTTTTCACTTGAGAGCACTAGGTTTGTCTTTCAACATTTGATCTCTGGAGCCATCACTCATCTCTCTGGTGGTATTCTGTTTCCTTAGAGCACTACTGGAATTCAGCCAACTCCATGTTTTGGACACCACCAAAGACCTATGCAATTGCCATTTCCTCTCGTATCACACATTGTGAGAATGTATTACTCCTCTCTCAGAGCAGTATCACATCCAACAGTCATTAACTACTTGTGCACAAAACTTCATCAGTTCAAATTTAAAATTGTCAGCAACTTTCCATTTTGTCCTGTTTTTCTGGAGAGGATTTAGTATTTCAGACTACTTTAATTCATTCTAGGACCTGGAAATTGAAATGCTTTAAGGTAATTTAGCCATTCAGGGTCTTCCATTGGGTTTTCAAACTGGTGAGAAAGGAGAAGAATGTTGCCCTTCAATCCCACATATAGGTTATGAATGTCTGTGATCCAACAAGCATAGAGGCTTCAGATTGTGAGGACAGGAGAGGCTTGGCCATCTTATTAGCACAGTAAGCTGACTGGGCAGAAAAAATGGGTAAAAGAAGTGGTAATTCTTTGGACAGTGATATCTGCACATTTCTTCTGTACAGCACTGATGTCAGAAATGGATAGCCCCTATTAAAACTGGGTAAGTAGGAACACCCTTCGGAGGACCTCTCACTTTCTTCAGGCATAATGCAACATTGATGGTCATGTAGCAACTCTTGATTCTGCAGTTGAATACATGAGGTTTATTCTAGCATCAAAACTCATAATCTAACAGGTTGTTCAACGCTAGGTTTTGGACTGTGCACTGAAATTTCTTGCTGAGCTTCCGTAGGTTCTGTTGTAACAGAAGCCAGGCTAGGTGGACACAGTGTGATCCTTCTGTGTCAAAATGTTTAAATTTATGATCCAGGCAAACTGACTACTTTTCAGAAGTGCTTAGTTCCCACTGCTGTCTAACATGCATGGGACCTGCCAGAACTCAACACCTCATAAAATTAGACTGCTCTTAATTAGGTGTCCAAACATTAGACTCAATCATTTATGTCTCTGAGACAGTATCTTGCAGACCAACTCACAATAAATTGCACTGAGCCATTTCTAAAACTTTATATTCCAGAAGGGTAAGGCTTAGACATTTGGTGTCCAGTCCAGTCCTGTCTGGGTAAGTACCAACAGTATTATGCGGGACTGCAGTTTTCAGTGATACTTGTATTTGCCATTATTTTTATCATTTGTTATGTTGAATATTCAAATGACTTGCATATTGAAATGTCAATAATTTAATAGCCTGTTGATTAATGAATGCCTTTTAATGAAAGCTTTGTATTTAAAAGCCCACTCTTGCAAACACTTTATGGGTGATTTATGATGCTTACCTTTACCTTTCTAAAAGTATGTAGTGAAAGATAGTCAACAAAGTCCCTTCACTAGTCAGTAGAGAGGGAGTTGTCACCACGGGCTGATTCAGAAGTCTGTAAGATAGATGGATAGAGTTATGTTCCAAAGCTGTCTTTCCCTTTCCATTAATTATGGAATTAATTAATGGGGGGTGGCTTAATTTAGTCTATATGCCTTTTTGATGATTCAGTTAGTTGAGATAAATTCTGCCATTTCTGTCAGTGTGATTCTTTTCAGTGGGGTTGTCAAGTTCACAGCTGCTCTAGGCCCCCTAACCTTTTTGCAGGGTTGGGCCTGTATTATTTTTTGTAAAACATTTGCTATGTAATTAAGCCCCTGTGTAAATAAGGCCCCATCCCTAGAAACATTCAAGGTCAGGCTCTGAGCAACCTGATCTAGTTAAAGATGTCCCTGGTCACTGCAGGGGGATTGGGCTAGATGATCTCTAAAGGTCCCTTCCAACCCAAAGCATTCTATGATTCTATGATTCTATTCTAATTAATTACATTATTGAATGTTTCTTTTTCTGCAGCCAACATCTTGTATATGGCAAGCCAAGAAATGATGAAGGTTGTGGAGAGAGACAGTACAACCATAAAGCAAAATTTAAAGAAGGTAACTGTTTAATCCTCAGAATTTTCATGGGAAACCCACATGCATGAGGAAACGTTACATCCAGTTATATTTGTGCAAAACCAGAATTTCAGCAGGCTTGATTCTGCTTTTATGTTAGTGTCATTCCATTGACTTTGGAGAAACCATTAAAGGGGTCACTGATCATTAAAGTGTCATTGATGCACACCTTTGTAAAAGTAGCATTCACCACTATCAGATATAGTAACCCATCTGGTATGTTTTCTTTGGTGGAGGAGAAACAGTCTATGTTCTGGCTAAGCCTGAGATGTGGTTCCATTGAGGCCAGTAGTTACCTGCATTCTGATCAGATAGGCAGATGGCCAGCCAGGACACGAGTGCAGGCTGATCAACCGAATCCTCTGACTTTGCTGCTAGACAGGTCAAGCAGAAGGTGTACCATCTGAGTTGTGTGGTGTCAGTTAAAATCATGGGATTCTGCAGGCTTGATTTTTCCATGGCATCAAAACATGATAGAGAGGAGTCAGGAAAATTATTATGGCTCCACAGTTTCAGCCATTCGACTGTAGTGTAAGAGAAAGACACAGAAAGTGCATTCCTCAGAGACTGGAGCTACTGCTATACAAGTAAATGAAGAAGTTTCGGGGACCTTTCTCCTGCACTGAACTTTCTTGTCTGTACGGTTTTATTGTTGAAAGAGATCCTGGTACAGTTTTGGTCTGTGCCGATAGCATTCTCCCAGTCAATTCCCAGGCATGGTTTGGGGGTTGGCACAGGCCAGAAACTGTTCCTAATTGGAGTTTTGATGTGGTCACCCTGTTTTGGAGGCTGAGAGAATTTAATAGTGTGGCCATGGTCAGACAATTCCAGATGGCTTATGAGCCAGAAAACTGTGACATTTAATAAACTGCTATTGGTGTAGCCTCCTTGTGAGTATAACATCAGTATATCATCAGTATAACATATTATTCTATTGTATCCCCTTCCTTCCCTCCATTTTTTTGTATCACCCATGCCTTTTTGCTGGAAGAATGATTCCAGCACTTGGCACTGGCAGAGATTTTCCTTGGAGAATGGAATTTTCTAGGACAGAGGTCCTAGATCTCTGTAAGATTACTTTGTGCCTTCATAAATCGGTCTTTCTTTTTTTGGCTAAAAATAGATTTTTTTTTACTTATCCAATTTGCCTTCTCTGCACTTTGAAAGGCATGTTCAGATGTTTCAGTTCTAGTTTTTTAAAAGGAGTTGAAATATCACACATGAACAAGGAACACTACACTGCACTAGGCATGCCTGGTTTTTCACATTTTTATTGCAGAGCATTCAAAGTTCTCCTGCACTTCAGAGGGAATCTCAGTGAAGAAACTGAAGGGTTGATCTTGCAGACTGCAAATATTCTTATTGTCTTGAACAGAACTTTCCATGGGCTGATCCAAAGCCCAGTGAATTCATGGAAAACGGTTGATTTTATTGACTGAATCACCTCTCTGAGTGTCAGGGAGCTGCAGGGTCTGCCTGTTCCCTGAGGGAAAGGAATCCATGAGCTGAGGGTGACCCCAGCACAGGCAGTGCCCTCACCAAGCAGGGTCCAGTCCCACAGCACCCAAGGGGGCAAAGTAACAGGGTCCGTCGACTGCCCGAGACAAGGCAAAGCAATGAACCAGGTCCAGCGTCCCTCCAGAGAATCCAGTCAGGAGCAAAAGGAGACAGGTCCAGAGACAGGACTAGAGACAAGGCTGCAACGTGGGTCCAAAGTCCATCCAGGAGACATGGCCAAAGCCGTGGTGGAAAGCAAGCTGCAAGGTGGGATCCATCCAGGTGACAGGCTATGTACAACGTAGGTCCAGCGTCAGTCTAGGACACAGGGCCAGGGACAGGGCTGGAGACAGATACTCCTACAGCGTAGCTTGAGAGGCAGAGACTAAAGGCGAAGGACAGAGATGGAGACCCTAGACCCATGGGCAGGGAGTGGGGGTTGGCGTCCCAGGTGAGGCTGGTGAGACCTGTTAGTGCCCTGAAACGAAGAGTAAGACTCTGCAGATTACCATGTTAGTCAGGGTACAAAAGTGAAGAGTTTGCAGAATCAAAAGTTCAGGTGCTTTTGGAAATTTTAATCACAAGCGCACGTGCTTGAAGTTAAGCTTAAAAGCTTCGTTGGATGAGGACAACAGTGGTGACAATCAGCTGCAGCTCCAGTGGCTTCAGGTGGTCTACTCAGATGCTTCACGTTACAAAAATACTTATTTCTTGTACTGAATGAAGGCCCAGCGCCAACAGTAAGAGTTTGCAGGTGTCCTAGTCTGCTTCATCTGTGCTTTTGTTGACTCTGTCAATCTAAGCTTGGCCTTGGCAGGCAGGAGCTTTCCTAAACCTATGTTAACTTTCTTTTATTGATTCTTTTATGTCCTCATACTTTTAAAGTGGCAAACATACTCAAGAAAACAAAAAGCTGAAGTGAGCTTACAAGCAGTTGGCAAACTAAAGAAAAAGCAGGTCTAAAAATGAAGCTAACTGCTTCTCTTTTTTCATCTTCTAGTAATTTCTGGGAATGTAAGAATTAAGGAAAGTTTTTTGAGTTGGCATTATGTTAAATTTGAAGTGTATAGACAATAAAAATGGGCTTAACTTATAAAGGTTGGAAGTTTATAAAAACAGGAACTATAGTCCAAGTTGCTATAGAACTGGCAAGCTGTCACTTCAAAAAATTTATACTGTTTAGTAGTCACTGTGATCATATGCTAAAAGCCAATCTTAACACCTGACTTTGCCAGCTGCTGTGGAATAGAAAAGTTATTTCTGGATCTTATTTGCATTCTGTGATCTGAAGAAGAAAGAAGAAGAGACACTAAATTATTCCAATCTTTCCGTGCCCAGGTTTAACTATAATTATTACTAGTTAGGGACCAGGAGAAATTTTATCTCCAGACTCCAGATTCTTAGTCTAACAATGCTAATTGCTCAGATTTATGTTGAAAGAATGGGAGCTGAAATGTTGTTTGGATAATTGAGTGATGTGTTTCACTTATAATCTTCTAAAGACAGAAGTTATGCACATTAAATAGCAGTGGAACTGTATGAGGAGGATGGAGACCTGTCTTGTAACGAAATAATAAATGATAGAGCATTTAAAATATTGGCTCTAAAGCTATTCGTCTGGATCAAGCCGTACATGAATGTAGACTTCTTGTTGCAATGACACAGGGAGTTGCAATGAATCACAAAATCTAAACAAGTAAGGTAGGGGATACAGATACAAGATTTGCTCAGTTTTGATGGTTAATTATCATTAGCTGGTTGTGTCTAAGCCAGCTGAGTTCTTTCACTAACACCACCAACTCCCTTTCCTAACAGAAACTGGAGGCAAAGCTACTACTGTACTAGAGGAAGTTTATTGTCATTCTTGCACAAAAGGAAGTGGGTGTAATTCTGTATTCTTAAAAGATGGATCACCATTGAGCATCATGGAGCTTTTACAAATAGAATAATAATTAAAAAAGGAAAGGGAAAATGGTTGCGTTGGGCAGTCCCCAGCATGCCTGTGATCAACAGTGTTATTTCTATATAGAGGCTCTCTACAGTATTTAACTTTTAACTCTGCATCATGCCACATTCGTTGCTTTATTTTAAGACTTAGCCTTATTGACTGTTTTTCTGTCAAGCAAACTTATAACGCTGTTGTAACCAAGAAGATATTTCATTAAAGGGTAAAACCAGGGTGCTTACAGAGGAAATTTTGCTTAGAAAAAAATCACCCCTCAGATTTTATGAGATATTTTGTTCATTACTTTGTGTGTAATACACAGTAGTCCTATTTTAAGTGTAGAATCTGCTCCAAAGCCCATCTAAATGAATAAGAGAGCTCCCACAGACTTCAGGAAGTCTTGAATCAGTTTGGCAGTGAACTTTCTGTAGTGGTTCCTAATTTCTTAAGACCATAAGTCATCTCCTGCAGCAACTGAAAATCATGATTCTTTTGGTAAGCACGTTAAACCAAAAAAGGTTTATATGCTCCTTGAGTTTAGTTTTGCCAGCGGCCTGGTGTAGCAGATACATTGATTGTGTAAGGAAAAAGACAGGAAACATCTGAAGGAGAGATACAAAGGTGAAAAGAAATCTGTTGTCTGAGAAGAATCATTTTTAATCAAATGGGAAAAAGTATAAACTGGAAGTTTATGGACACATGAACCTATTTTCACTCAGATCAAGGAAGTCTGTATTGTGGGTGGCTTATTACCACCCATATATAGATGGTTAGGTGGGGAAGAAATTCAGTTTTGAAAAAATAAAATGAATGAAGTATGTGTTTACCACTTCCTGCTTATTTCAATGGTGTATTTAGAATTTAAAGTAATACAAGTTTATATCACACCAATAATACCATAGAAAATATGTTCTCCAAGAGTATGAACTAAACAGTGATATGTAGAGATTTAGAGTAAAAATTGCAAAAATTAAGTATTTCCTTTCCATAGAAAAGTGCTAGGTTTTTCTTTTGAAAAAATTGTCTTTGCTAGAGAAAACTTTTAAAACTGAGCAACCAAGAACTATTTTGACCCCTGAAGCAGCTGTTTTGATGTTGCCCGGTGTTTTTTGTTTGAGTCTCTGTAGACATCCACAGGGGTTTAGTAATTATTCCCAGTGAGAGGAGCGTGATCTGAAGGTAAGTGGTTAAAAGAATACTACAAATGCTTTTCCTGCCCACAGCCTGAGTGAGTTGCTTGCCTACATTTGTGAAAAACCTTCCAAACGCTCTTTCTGAATAGGTGCAAAGTGCTCTCTCGAGCCAAGAACACCTCTTTTTTGGCTGGTCTCACATCCTTTTTGGCCTGCACTCCCTGGAGGTGCAGAGTTGAAGTTAGGGAAGTTGCACATGTGCTTGGGGATTTTGGTGCCTGTGTCATTTAACCACAAAAACAACCTTCTCTTTGAAACACCCAGAATGCCTGATCAGGGATCAGCAGTTTCTCTCCTCAGTGGAAAAGGATCCCAGTGAGCATTCAGAAGTTCAATTGACCACAATA